CCATCTCATCTTCTATTCAGCTTGTGTTTGTATCACCGAATGTGTAGCCATAAGTCACATGTAGCTTCTGAGCTCTTGAAATGATTACTTGAGAGACGGAGGAACAAAATCTTAAACATCACTTAATTTGTGTTTAGTTGAACTTTGACTTTAAAACTGAAGTGCTCTAAAGTGAATGAGAACACTTGAAAACACTTCGTTCTTATTGAAAATGGAGAGGTGATTTTCAGTACCCCTTTAGACATGATGTTAATAACACTGGACATAAGAATCAATGAATTTATTGAACTTGGAGGTGTGTGGCTTTGAAATGAATATTGTACCAGGCTTTCTTTTGGGCCACCAACCACCTCCCAATAATGACTTGGAGATTTATTACTAGTTATGAATGCTCATCCTTATCTTAGCTCTTATTTCTTGCTAGCTCTTATAACTTAAAATTCTCTTCTTGTTTCTCTTTATCTACATTTTTGCCTTGGGGTTTTTAACCTTTTATTTCTCTATAACTTACTTTTCCTGTTTCTTCCATGTCTGTCTGCCTGGCAGCTGCCTGCCTGACTAGCCCCGAGATGTCTCCTTCTCTTTCTCCTTCATTCTATTCTCTCTTCCTCTTGAGCCTACATTTCTCTTATTTATTCTCTCTGCCCCCCAGCCCCACCTATCCCTCTCCTGCCTAGCTATAGGCTGTTCAGCTTTTATTAGACCAAATAGGTCCCTTAGGCAGGCAGGCAAGGTGAAACAGCAACACACCTTTACATAATTAAACAAATGCAGCATAAACAAATGCAACACACCTTTACACAATATTCCTAAAGCAATATTCCTATTCTGCACCATAAACAAATGTAGTACATCTTTACATAGCTAAATATTCCAGAACATTGTTTTGCTTCAATGATGAACTCTGCTAAAACAGGTGAAGCAGTATGGGATCTTTTATTTTTAAAGATTCATTTTTATTCTTTTAAATTAAGTATATGTGTGTGTATTCCCATGTGGATATGTGCATATGAGATCAGGTGCCCCAAGAAGCCAGGGGCATCAGATCCCCAAGAGCTGGAGTTGCAGATGATTTCCTGACATGGGTTCTGAGAACAGAACCCAGGTCCCCTGAAAGAGAGCAAGTACCCTTACCTGCTGAGCCATCTTTCCAGCCCCCATTTATATTGATATCGATGTGAAGATAGAAAACAAGTTTGGGATTCTGAGTTAAGCTTTGAAATATTCTTGAACAACTTGGATATGTACATTTCTTCCCAAGTAAAAGTTCTATGTGATCTAAATATATACAGATCAAGTAATTCTGGGGAGGATTCAGTACCCAAATTGAGATAGGCTGTAAGGGTAATATGCAAGTCAGATTTGAAGGCTTTGTACCAAGAAAATACTGCAAAATACCTCACTGGGATGTATTGTATGAAATTCCCAAAAAATTAATATAAATGTTAAGTTGGGAAAAAATTAAATGGGAAGTGACTCAAAATCAATTAAAATATTGATTACATCCTAAATGACAGGAGTTTATGGCGATCATTCAAATGTGACTAGCCAGGCGGTGGTGGCGCACGCCTTTAATCCCAGCACTGGGGGGGAGGGCAGAGGCAGGCGGATCTCTGTGAGTTCAAGGCCGGGCTGGACCGACAGCCTCCAAAACAATACAGAGAAACCCTGTCTCGTAAAAACCAAAAACAAACAAACAAAAAAAAACAAATGTGACTAAAATTAATTTCACCTTCTTAACCCACCCCTTCCCCCATTAGAGAATTTAAAGTTATCCCTGTAGCTTGCATTCTGTTTCTATTGGACTACATTAAAGTAAAGGCAGGTCTGGATTCTGAACATACTGTATTGTTGGTACCTAACACGTGCAGACATGTACCAGGGGCTGTGTAAATCTTTGTGGAGGAAGATAATTTAATCTGGGAGGGAGGAACTACAACTTGACAGGATGGTTGCTCATGTGAACTGCTAACCCTCATTTCCCCAGACTATGTAAATCGACAACAATGCTTCTTCAAACAACAAGTCAACTTAGTATCCTAGATGCTTATCTTGTCTTCTCTAGGTCACCAGAAGTGAAATGACAGGGAGATCAATTCACTATTAAGTTATGGATTTTCTTCCCTGTTTGCTTTGTTTCCTTCTCAAAGCACCCAAAGTACTGCTAAGTGTCTAAATTTGCAACCTTTTGTTTCATTATCTCCTCGGGTTTGCAAAGGAGGCTGGCTGTTTGGCTTTGGATTATGAGTTTTATTTTCACATTTTTTGTTTGTTTGTTTGTTTGTTTGTTTGTTTTGCTTGTTTGGGGTGTTAATGAGAACTTCAGCTGCAGCAACACACACACACACACACACACACACACACACAGGCATGCACGCAACTTGACAAAGCAAGTTAATAGTTGGCTACCTGTCCGCCTTGCAAAGCTGGCTCTCCTAATAGGCAGCATGACTTTTGTGTTGGATGGAGAATTATGCAAAGAGCCTGACTCCCCATGGTGTGAATTACCTTCTGCTCATAGGAAGAAGAGAAAAGAATGCCTCCTCTGGAGCATGATAGGGAAAATTGCATTTTCTGTTGACTGCACAGATCTGTCTATGCTGGGATCCTGCTCAACCTTTTGTTCAGAATAACCAGCCTATATGATCTAATTAAGCCAGTGCCTCCGGCTTTGAAAATAGCTTGCTTTACTGCTTCACTCCTCCAGCAGGCTCATCTCTGACCTACTTCCCTAATTTCTGTGTTGGGGTATCTGGTTATACATCCTAGCTAACCTTTCATGTGTCACTTGAGGTCAGATAACCTCGTGGGGAGAATGAACCATGGAGTACTTCTGTCTGATAGTTTTAGGGCTGCTAGACAAACTTACAAATAGTTATTGTAATCACAAGTATATGCGTGTATGTTGATGTGTGTAGGTGTCCATGGAGGCTAGAGGCATTGGATCTTATGCAGATAGAGTTAGAGCTACCTTATATGGATCTTTTTAACACCTGAGTTGTCTTTCCAGCCCCCACTCTCAGATATTATTATTATTGTTGTTGTTAAGACACTATTTTGTATTTGGGCAGCGGTGGTGGACACCTCTAGTCCTAGCACTCAGGAGGCAGAGGCAGGTCGATCTCTGAGTTTGAGGCCAGCCTGGTCTATAGAGTTGAGTTCCAGGACAGAGAAACCATGTTTTAACACCCCCGAAGAATATCTTATGCAAACTGGGTGTGGTTATACATGCTTATAATCCCATGACTTGGCAGGTAGAGGGAGGCAGGGGTTCAGGTCATCCTCAGTTACACACCAAGCTTGATATTAGTCTGGGTTACTTGAGACCCTGAATCAAAAACCAAAACCAAATCAAACCAACAGTAGCAACAACCATAAAAAGAACACTGGCGTGGTGGTGCATGCCTTTAATCACAGCAATCTGAAGACAGAGAGAGGCAAGTGGCTCTCTGTGAGTTCTAGGCTAACCAGGGATGTAGAGTAAGACCCTGTCTAAAAAAAAAGAAATGAAAAAAAAAATCTTCTATGATATGTGGGGCATACTTATGCTAAAACAAACTGGTTTTGTGACAAATTAAGCCAGACAGCTAACATTTTTGTTTGCCAGTGGCAACCTTTGATAAGATTCTTTATTTTCACCAAAAGAGGCAATCTACTGGGGCAGAAAGATGGCTCAGCAGGTAAAAGTACTTGCCACCAAACCTAATGACCTGAGTTTGATCCATAGGATCAACATAGCAGAAGGAAAGACCCAGAAGTTGTATTCTGACCTCCACCTGCATCATGCCATGCTGTTCCCAACAATCAACCAAATGTAATGAAATAAAAACAGGAGAGATGACCTGGTGGGGGATGTCCTTCTGTATATATGTTTCTCTTATTAGTTGATGAATAAAACTAGGAGATGAGGAGAATTCTGGAAAAGGTAAGTGGAGTGAACCCACCAAAGACAGTCACCATGAAGAAAGAGTAACAAGTCTGGGCATTCTATGGTAAGCCAAGAAAGACCATGTGGAAATACATAGATTTATAGAAATGGGTTAATAATTAAGACAGAGATAGCCAATAAGAAGTCCTAGACACCAGCCAACAGTTTTATAATTAATATAGCATATGTGTGTTTATTTGGGCCTGAGAAGGGCAGCAGGACCTGAAGGGACAAGAAACTTTCATCAACAATGAGCCAAGGACTTACTGAAGAACGTGGGTACGAGATTTAAACAAAGACCAGTGTGGTACTACTGGATGCCATTTACTGAATCCTGTTGAAAAACAACTGAAATCACACCTGGATATCTGTTTTTATGCCTTTGATGACAAAATGAATCCAGGGGAGGGGTCCTCAAATGTAAAATGCCACTTTGCTTTGTTAATTCCTTGCTTTGCTGACTCTTTTACAGGCATGTCTGAATTCCCCACCGACTGTCAACCCTTGAGGGCAGAAATGGTCTTTTTTTTATCAGTATCCCTTAAATCTGCCAAAAAATTTGAGCATCAATCCATTCTCAAAATCATTACCAATAACCTTGAAGTAAAATTCAAGGACAATGCTATCAAAGGATGTGGGGTCTCAAAACCAATTGATGTTCCGGCAACCTCATGGGAGGGGGGATGCACACCTGAGTCCAGCGGAGTTGAGTTGCATGGTGTGGAAAGAGAGTTCTGCTTAGGAGGAAGCCAGTCAAAGCCCTTCACCCATCTACTCCAGAACAAATGCTTGTCACCAGCAGCAGCAGCAGCAGCCTCCCCCACCACCTGTCAGGGAACCACTGCCAATGGGTAATTGTACCATGGTGTTTTGAGAGGAAGCCTGACTTTAAAAAGGAGTTGGCAGCGTCCAAGGGCCAGCAGGGCCTCTTCATACCTGCTAATGAAGCCTCGTTATAAGCAGCAGGAGTCTGTGCTGGGAACTGGAAGTCAGTCATGGCTCTCCCTGCCAAAAGGTGATTAACTAACTGACTTGCAGCACCTGCTCTGAGCTCACCGGGCAGGAGAGTCTGAAGTGTGCAGACCCACGCAGTGTGCTTCTGGGAGAAACTCAGAGAGTTGTGCACATTGACTCTCCCCACCTTCCAGTGGCTGGGTTGCCTTCCATTATGTGCACAAAACGCAAGGAGGTCCTCACCTTCCAGGCCTCAGGCTGTGTTGAGGTTGGAAAGTGAGATGTTGGCTTAGAGATAATAATTAATGATAATAAGAAAGAAAAGAGACCTGCCACAGTACCTGCGGCATCTGACATAGTTGGGACAGCTGCATGGTCTTCCTGAGTGGCACACGTACCCAGGTGGTTCAATTATGAGCAGTGCAGCTACGGGGGAAATGGATGCTTGGCTGAAATGGAGCGTAAGTGGTGTCTTGTCTATTTCTGTACTTCAGACAATGAACTGAATCATGTAAAGATACTGTGCAGAGTCTAAGTAGCTAGTCTTCTGGGAGACTCATGAATTCAGTTTCTTCCGTCCTGTAGGCTAGTGGGGAAATCTATCTGATACAGTTACAACAGGACAGCTTGCTTATTTTTAAAACTTAGGGATTTTGTTTTATTTTCTTGTTTGTTTATTTGTCTTTTTGGAACTTTACATACAAAGGTCTTCAAATGTTCCTACACTGGATGGATTCTCTTTTGGGGTGAGCAGCTCACAGTGACAAAGGGAGCAAAGGGAACAAAGATTCAACATGTATTTCTTGGTCTAATTTGGTATACCAGGTAGGTGACGGAAACAGAAGTGTATATTCTTGTGGTGGTAGTGTGGTGGTGGTGGTATGTGGTTTTAGAAGCACTGAAAGCCTGTGGTAGGGCACAGGTGGTGGTTTCAATTTTAATCTCAAGGCAGGAGAGTCTTGCCTGCATAGGAAGCAGATGCATCAACTATATTTGGCTGGCCCAAGCCTTGAGAGGGCTGGCGTGGGGATCCTGAGAAGAGATTTTGAGGCTGCAAGTGTGTGAGCAACCACAACTTAATTAGTCTCCCGTGGGCTGAAACTGATGGAGGGGTGCTGTGCCATGGGTAAATAAGACATGTATGCCTTTAAATATGCATACAGGTCTTTCACAGGTCAGAATGCCCTGTGATGCTTGTAGTTATGGTGTGTTCAATAAAGCAACAGGCTAATCCCTGTTCTGGCAAATGCGTGCATGCGTGCGTGCGTGTGTGTGTGTGTGTGTGTGTGTGTGTGTGTAGGCTCACATGCGTGTGTACCTTTTGTGTCACTAGGGTACCTGTCAAAAGCAGAATTTTTGAGTGAACAGCACCTGTGTGCTGATAAACCCCAGAAGAGTTGACCCTGAGGCAATGGTGAAACAGGTGTCATTACATAAGGTTCCTTCCGGAAGTAACTAAAAATGGCCTCCTGGTATGGGGGAGTAGTGTAGTGGCAGAGTATATAAATAGCATGTATGAGGCCCTGAGTTCCATCTCATGAATCAACAAAACACAGCCGGGCGGTGGTGGCGCACGCCTTTAACCCCAGCACTCAGGAGGCAGAGGCAGGCGGATCTCTGTGGTTTGAGGCCAGCCTGGTCTACAGAGTGAGTTCTAGGACAGCCTCCAAAAACAATACAGAGAAACTCTGTCTCAAAAAACCACACACACACACACACACACACACACACACACACACACACACACACACACTACCAATGAAAATTCCCAAAGAGCCCTGAGATACGCAGATAGAAGGGCATTTTCTCTCTACCAACAAGTTAAACACAAAATGGCAGACTAGGAGCTGCACAAAAAGCATTTATTTGGAGAGGCCTAAGTTGTTCAAGCTACAGACTACTTAAAGGAGAGCAGAAGGGCCCTCTCTACTTCTGGGAAGCGTTTGCACTCCATCTGAGTCAATCAGGGAATCCAGTAGCTACAGAAGTTCCTCAAGCATCATCACTGGTGGGCCTCTGAAGAAAGTAGTTTTCCTGGTGGAAGGAGGAAGTTGTTTCCCGTCAGCTGAAAAGAAGCACAGGTGAATCAGAAGCAAGAGCGACATAACACCAGTAAAGATACCACGGAAGGATTATGGGGAAAGGAGCTGCGTTATGAGAAAGAATTTGACTTTTAGAAGAAGACAGTGCCAAGGTTCAAAACCCCATTTTGTAGTTTGGTGGATTTTGGACAAATGACTTCCAGAACTCTGGGACGTGTGTCCTGTCAGTAACCGGAGGTGTGTGGCATTCTGGTGGGCACAGGAAAGAATGGAGGCAGCCAGGGGTGAGGGCCCGACTTCAGGAGAACAGCCACTCAGCAGGTGCCTACGTTCTTGAATTTCACTCCCCCGACTCCTCCAAGTTTATTTGAAATGACTTTGTGTGTTTACTCAGATGTGATTAGGAATCTGAAAGATTTAGTTTTGTTAGGAACATTTGGCTTTGACATTCCTCATAAAGCAATTGGACAAAAGGACAGGAGGAGGGACAGGGGGGTGGTTTTCTGGTCATTCTTCCCCAAAACAGGATGCTACGATCTCTGAGAGAGGGCCCAGAAGCCTGGTCCTTAGAGTTACTTCAATCTCCATGTGTGACCACAGACAGATCCCTCCCACTTGGGCCTTCCCATTCTCTCTTGAGAAGGACTATATGATTCCTAAGTTGGCTTTTGTACTTTATTGTTATTTATTTGTATTTGTGTGTATGTACACACACACACACACACACACACACACACACACACACACACACGAATGCACAGAACATGTATCCAAATCAGAGGACATTTTCATGGAGTCAATTCTCTCCTACCTTTCTGTAGATTCTGGGGGTTGAACTCAGGGTGTTAGGCTTGTGTAACAAGGGCTTTACCTGCTGATCCATCTCACCAGACCCCTAAGTTTTCTCAGAGTTGCTGTCCTTTTCTTCTTAAAAATTTTATTTATTTAGTGCGTATGTGTATTTTGTGTGCATATGTGTCTGTGCATCATAGGCATGCCTGGTGCCCATGAAGGCCAGAAGAGAGTGTCAGATCTCCTGGGCCTGTAGTTATAGATGCTGTGAGCCACCTTGTGGATTCTGGGAATTGAACCCAGGTCCTCTGGGAAAGCAGCTGGTGCCCTTAACTGCTGAGTCCTCTCTTTAGCCCTTACTGTCTGACTCCTAATTCAATGTGCCATAGAGGAGACATTGAAGGGAGGCATGAAGATAAAGAAAATGAAGAGAAATAAAGATTTGGATTTCTGGAAATAATCTAAGCCCCGAGGCTGATGCATATGTCTCTGCATGAACCTATTGGTTAGAGAAGACCTGCATATATGCTCCCAAGTTCATATGTATATCTGTGTATGATTTGGTAGACATAACTGACAAACTCCATTGGCATTCCCAACACCTTGCTTGCCTCCTCTATAGAGTCCAAATTAGACAATATTTTCTCAGCACCCCTTATAGGCAAGAATAGCCAGTCAGCCAGATAAAAGAAAGTCAACAAGAAGCCTCCTAAAAATGCTTGAGAGTTAGGCTAGAGAGACCACTGGCAGTTAAGAGCACTGGCTGCTTCTCCAGAGGACCTGGGTTCAATCCCCAGCACCCATGTGGCAGCTCACAGCTGTCTAACTCTAGTCCCCTTTTCCGATCTCCATGGCACTGCACACAGGTGGCGAGTAGAACAGCCATATACACAAAAGAAACATAAATACAGATGTCAACTTTTGTAAAGTTTAAGAGTCACTCAAAAAAGTCTTTTTGTCACTCCCTTTTCCCTGGTCTTGAACGAAATGTGACATGTGTGGTTGTCGTGAAGAGTTCTCTGCACTGCTGGGGTTGAACCCGGGGTGTTGTGTGTTCTAGGCCAGCTCTGTAGCCACCCAGTGCCTCCCCATTCTCCATGTGCATTCTTCCTGCAGATAGAGCAGAATTGGGCATACTTGCTCTCCTCCCTGTCCAGCAGGGCGTGGTAGGATGCCACGTCCTTCTGCAGCTGGCTCTTGCATGCCAGCAGGTGTGTCCGCTCCTGCTGCTGCTGCTCCGTCTCCGAGCGGATCTCTGCCAGCTCTGCCTCCAGCCTGCCCACCACAGCACCCAGGTTCTGCAGCTCCATGTCATGCCAATGCTTAGCATCATGCAAGGTGTTCTCCAGGCCTCGTTTCTACGAAAGAGTGAAGGTCATCGGGCTGGGCCCTCCAGGTAGGAAATGGATGACTGACTAGCTCTGCCCATTTGTTTTTTCTGGGACAATGATGTCTTACTGGCTCTAGGGAAGCATGAGAAAGTAAAGCTCTCCTTCATGGACTTTTTGTGACAGGCAGGAGGGAATGGCCAGGGGGGAGCTGAAATGGATGTGTCTCACTTTTACCTCTCAGCATTTTTTTCTGTGGGGTTTGGTAATGCATTTTTGCCAGACCCTGTCTCTCTGCTCCTTGGTGGCTTCCCACTTCCACATCTGGAGCAGAGACCCTCAGGCAAGGACTCTGGGTCTGTGTGACTGATGACCTCTTCACCCAGGTTGCCAGCAGGTCTTTTAGATCATGACCCCTGCACTGGGACCACCAGCACAGCTCTCTCCCCCCAGCTATGGGCCCGCCATTGAACTTCTTATTAGAGATATATACAGAGACCTTCAAAACAGGGCCACTGGCTTCCCTTAACCCTTGGCTTCTCCTCTTTGGTGGATCAGCTGGAGAAACCAGGGGAAGATATGTCGTGGACATCCCTTTCAGTCATCACTGTCACTTAGGGATTCTGAGTCCTGCCTCTTACATCTCCTGTGAGGTTTTCCCATTTATGGTCACCTTTCTTCTGCCAACACCGTGGTCTGGAATTGGACCTCTTTACTTATTATCCTGATTTTAGTCTCTGCCCTTCCCACATTTCCCAAACAGCTCCTAAGGTGATTTGGCTAAAGTACATATCTGGGCTTCTCTCTCCTTTGCTTAAACCTTACAACACAACAGTGGCTCTCAAGGACCTCTAGTATGGGTCCCATGACTGGCTCTGTGACTTTCCATTCACCTCCTACTCTACCCTAATGTCAACATTTCTGGTCATGGAAGCTTATTGGATTTATATAGTTTCTCTTTCCTTCCTTCCTTTTTGCCTTTCTTTCTTTCTTTTTTTTTGAGATAGAGTCTCACTGTATAGCTCTGACTGTCCTGGAACTTACTATGTAGACCAGGTTGGCATCAAACTCACAGTTATCCATCCACCTGCCAAGTTCTGGGATTAAAGGTGTACACTACTATGCATGACCTCATATTGTTTTTTTATGGCTGGAGCCTTCTCACTTGCTTCATTCTGATTCATCCCCAAGTTCAAGTTCAGGAGTCACTTCTCTAGTAAGCCTTCCTTGATGCTCCTTAGTCCTTACTACGAACAAGTTGGGTTAGGAGCTCCCTTGTGTTTCCATGGCTCCCCAAGCACATGCATGTCTTTGAACTCACCACTTGGATGTGCCCATCCTACAAGATGGTGAGACTTGGAGGGAAAGTTGTCTCTGTATCCTCAGTCCCAGGAAAGGGTCTGTGTAAATCCAGAAACATGAGTTGCCTGGGTAAAGGGCATCTGCTACATGGTTACATTTATTGTCTTACTGCTCTCTTTCACCAGCAGTTAACAGTGGTTCTCAACCAAAGGGCCGAGACCCCTTGAGGGATTGCATATCATATATCCTGTATATAAGATTTTTTACATTATGATTCATAACAGTAGCAAGATTACAGTTATAAAATAGCAACAAAATAATCTTAGAGTTGGGAAACACCATGAACAACTGTATTAAAGGGTCATAGTGTTAGGAAGGTTGAGAACGATTGAGTTAGACTGCAAACATCTTTCTTCTCATCTTCCTGTGCATTGTGCCCTGAAAGATAGCATTGGCCAGTAAAAAAACTAAACATCAGTGTGCCCAAGTTTAATAGTTTCAAGTATGGTGGCCATATAAACTAGTACCTAGCTTTGAAGAGATTTTAGTAGTTTCTTTAATGATAATTATTTTTGACAAATTCTGGGCTTGGATTCCACTCAATATAGAGTTCAGTAGGCCTAATGGTACCTGGCTTCCAATACAAACAGTGCCCTAGTAGCAAACGGAGCTAACCATTTGATAACAAAGTTGTCTGACTTACAAGAGGGGGGTGGGCACTGTATATGCACAGGTTGTTCTGACTCAGGCTAGCTGGATGAACTATCCCCTCCCCCATTCTCAGTCTGTGCTCCTCATTTTGGCTGTAAGGCACAGTAATGGGAATGTTGATCTATTGGAACCCACAGGGGACAGAGCTACCCCATCTTGAGTCATGAACATAGGTAGAATGCCATTGCTCTGAAGTCTTCTGGTTGGCATCTGAGTTCTTTTTCCATTTGCCCTAACAGTCAGGATCATGGAGTTGAAGTGAGGTGACCAGGTGGCTGATGATGCCAACTTTGGGGCTCCTGAGTTGGTGGCTATAGTTTTGCATGAAAAATGACAATCGATGGACTGCTTGCCTGTACAGGCACAGTGTAAAAGTCTTGACATACATCATCTCATTAGTCATCCCAGTGACTTTATGAGGTCAGTTCTATTCTGACCTTAGGATAGATCACATTTCCAAAGGCAGCTGCAATAATTGTCACCACCCCACATGGTCCTTCTCAATGTGACCTTGCTAAGAGTTGCGGCTTGTTGGACCTTACTGCCCTCGTGATTGCTTTGGCCAACAGAGTAAGATATATGTGATGTTCAGAAACTCTAAAGCTAAGAGGTCATGGGGCTGGTAGATTTATTCTCACTCTTCAGTGGAAGCAAGGTGCCACATCAGAAGTCTGCCTGCGTAATAACACCACCACAGTGTGAGGGAGCCCAAACTAGCTGTGTGGAGAGGGTTCAGAGCAGGACCCAGATTCACAATCGAGGCCCCTCCCATATGAGCTGAAGAAGCACCTGTGGGTGCCCCAACCTCAGCAGACATCATGAGGGATAGGGATAGCTGTCCTTGCTGACCTCTGCCTAAATCATAAGGTAATGGAGTGCCGGTATTAAGCCACCGAGACAGTAGGTAAATAGGACAACTAAAATAGATCCTTACTAGACAAATGAGAAAATGCAAGTTTAGAGGGCCATGTGACTAGTGACTAGAGGATCCTGGGATTCAAGATCACAGTCTAAGAAACACTTCTCAATTTCCCAGGAGAAGAGTCCCAGGAGAAGAGTAGAGGCAGATGTAGACGTCATGGGGGGTGGGATTTTTCTAGACTCTGCCCCAACTGTGCCCTTCGCTATACCCACCAAAAAATAAACATATTGACTCCCACAGCGGGGCTGGTCTCCCCGCTTGTCACTCCCTCACATGCTGAGCCTTGTTAATGTGACATCAATTCCTCTACAGAGGTCACTGATAGAGACCATGTCTAATCAGTCTTATGTCCCCAAAGTTCTTGGTATAGCTCCTGGAACATGGTGAATTCTTGTGAGTGATATAAGAAGCATGCTAACACACACACATGTGTTCCAACAACACTTTGTAGTTAGAATGTTGAAGGAGATGCCATGATATCCCAATAGAGCTTCAGTCCCACCAGACGAAAAGGTGGAACTTAATTCAGTTTCTTAGGAGCTGTGTCAGTGTGGGTCCAGGATGCCTGTGCATACCTAAACCGACAGATGCAAACCTCTTACAGAAAATGATATAATATGCACATATCACCAAAACAATCCTCCTGCATATTTCCTTAAATCTCAGGGAAGTGTCTCTAGATGACTTTTATGTGATACAATGTGCAGCTGCATAGATGACCAGGCTGTTGCTTAGGGAACGATGATAAGAAATAAAGGCTGTGCAAGTGCAGAGCAGGTGCAATGTTTTCCCTGAATATTTCCAGTCCAAGGTTGATTGAATCCACAGATAGAGAAACCATGGATACAGAGGGCTGACTGCAGTTATTTTAATTACTAATAATTAGTACTTGTGAGGCACCTGCTAGCAAACCACAGTGAGTCTGACCTTACTAGGTGTCCGAGGTTGAGGCAAGGATCCTGGAGCTTATACCCAACTGCAGGATTACTCTCAGGAAAAGGGGGATTGATGGAGACAAAGGAGACAGGGCAGGGAAGATGCTGAGCAAGGAAGGAGCCTCTCTGAAAACTGTCTCCTGGAGGATCCTATGGAGAGCTCTGTACAGCTGTTTCCATGTGAAGCTAGCAGGCTGGGCTTCCAAACCCATCAGTCTGTCACTGTCTGGGGCAGGGGCGTGACCTAACTTCTTGGATCAGGAGTCTCGTGTTTGGCTGATGACAATTGTCTGAAGAAACGGGCAGCTGCAAGTGTTAGCAGCTGACATTCCCAGCTGTGGCAGGTAAGGGGTATTTCTTCAGGCCCTGTTATGTCCACGACACTTGTTAGGTATCAGTCGGCATCTGGTAATCCTCAGAGGTCAGAAGACACTTCAGGCGCCAAACCACATCCTGTGAGAAGGAAGCCCTTCTGCGAACTATGAACTGTGAAACTTCAGACTGACAGTTGAGAGTTAAACACAAAAACCGCCAAGGCCTTTTTTTTGGCACACTCACCAGAGCCCGTAAAGATTCCATCTCAGCCTGGAGACTCTGGACTTGGCATGAAGTGTCGTGCAACTCTATGCTGAGGGCAGCGGCCAGCTTTTCTTCTTGGGTCTGAGATACATGGACCACTTCTGTCTGTTGCTATGGAGAGTCAGGTCTTAGGGTGAGTGAGGATGAGTTAAAAGCCCAAAGCCACCCTTCCTCCTTGGCCACTTCTACGCTCTCTGCTAGACTAAAAAAACATACACCTTTTAATAAACCTGCTAACCAATTCATATACAAAAAATTGTTTCGAACCTTTGATGCCTACAATTAAAATAACATTCAAAAGTGTTACTAAAGACGTAGTTCCATGGTAAAGTACTTGCTTAGTACGCTTATGACCCTGCACGCTCTCTGTCTCCGCTCTCTCCCTCCTGACAGCAGTAGGAGACCACCTTTCCTCCCTATGGTCTAATCACACAGTTTCTAGTTTCTTATACCTCCTTTCAGAAATATTTCGTAGAGTGTCTGAGATCTGTTCTGTGAACATTGCAGAAATATGCCCACACAGGTGAACGTGGCTGCAGTATCACTAGGTGATGTAATCTCACAGGCCCAATGCTGCATATTTAATCTATCATTGACCATGACATCCGTTTTGTAGTGCACAGCTGCATTTGTAAATAAATATTAATTACTGTCTTCTCTTGTTTGCTACAGTACTTCCTATATGTTAGAAACCAGTCTCTGCTGGGTGATTATAGTCTTCGAGTGGCTACGTAGCATTGCCTTGACTGGACATACTATGATGTATTTAGAAGTTCCCGATTGGTGGACACTTCAATTGTGCCCAGATTTTCCCAATTTCAAAAAATAACCTTTGATGCCTCATTTTCCATCCAAGAGAGCATCTCTGAGGGATACATACTTTAGATAAACTGTGTATGTAGGTAAAGACAGGGTCTTCTTATGGACCCTTGGACTCTCAGTCCTCCTGACTCAACCTCCAAGTGGTGACATGTGTGCATCAACACGCCTGCCTGGAACTTTGAAGGACACTCACAAATTATCCTTTGGAGATTTGTGACTCTCTCAACACTGGGAGACAGTGCCAGGTCTCCACACTGTCCTCACCCAAGGAGTTACATTTATTCATTTTATCTTTATGTGTGTTTTGCCAGCATATGTGTATGAATGCCATGTGCATGCTTGATGCCCAGGGAGGTCAGAAGACAGTATTGAATCCCCTGAAAGCGGAGTTACCCATGGCTGTAAACCACCATGTGCCTGGGAAAAGTACCTGTGTCCCCTGCAAGAGCAACATGTGCTCTTGACTGATGAGCCATCTCTCTTGCCACAGGTTTTCTATCTGGATCTCTGTATCTGATAGACCTTCTTTCCTTTAAAAATTAATAGAAGTCCTTTATGTATTTGTATATGGGGGTATGTTTGTGTGAGTGGACCCCTGCCATGGCTCGTGTGGGTACACGTGTATCATGGCTTCTGTGGGTACACGCGTATCATGGCTTGTGTGGTGGTCAGAGGACACTCTACAGGAGCCAGTTTCCTTCCATCATATGGGCTCCAGGGACTGAACTCAGGTCACCAGACTTGGTGGCAAGTGCCTTCACCTGCTGGGCCATCTCTCTGGCCCCAGCCACGTTTTCATTGTACAAACCAGTGCAGCTACAATTGTGACTATGAGGGGTCAGTCTGTTTTCTGAACCCTTTTCCCAAAGGGCAATGGGTGGGTTCTGATTCCTCCCAATGCATTCAGGGGAGCACGCCCCCTGCTGGTGGATGACAAAATGAGACCACCCTCTTTTTTTTTTTTTCATTATCTTCTGATATGTAGTCTCTGAGCCAATGCTGTAGGCAGAGAGGTTGAGGAAGCCTCTGTTTTCTCTGCAGGTTCCTAGCTTCCTGAAAGTGACATTTGGAGCCACATATGAACATTTGCCGAGGCATGCACAGACTCTTCCAACCTAACTGTCTGCCTAAGAAGCCTCCTTCAAGATGCTCCCATCAGTAGCAGGAACACTAATCTTTGGGAGACTCTATACCATGTGAGCTCTGGGGATTGGATTGGGGGGGCAAGTTTGACAGAAGTATCACCTGCTGAGTTACCCCTATAGTATTTATATATAAATGGGTCTGTAGCTCAAAGGGAAGGCACTTGCCTAGAATGTACAAAGTCTTGGATTTGATCTTCACTAGTACAAAAAAGTAATAACTGCCAAGAAATGAGTTTGCAAAATCCACTATGAGTTGAATGCAACAACTGCTACTGCTATTGCTATGAGTAATTAATATGCATTAGGCTCTTATTCTATGCCATGAATAACTGTAAGTCCATTATCTCATGGTCTCTTTACAACCTTGTGAAATCACATGCCATTATTATCCTCAGTTGATACAAGGAAATGGAGGCACACAGCCTAGGCGATTTGCTCATGATCACGTGACCTCTGAGAGCAGCTGTACATCCAGGACAGCTTTCAGCCCTGTTAATGCAGCTGTCTCTGCCAGCCTGTTGACTTAAGACCTTTGATACCGGAGACGCCTCCCTCAGAGTTTCTTGGATCACCTCATTTTAATACATTAATGGACTTCAGTATCACCTGGGAATTTGAAAATGGAGGCTGTGATGCAGGAGACCCTGAATGGAGCTTGGGAAGTCCGCATTGCTCACTCTTGGGGATGCCTGGTCCATGGAATCAGAGCTCTAGATTGCTAAAGGAACTGATAAAACATCCTCACTCGCCTTACACTGGAACATTAATACAATGACAACAAAGTAATATTAGTCAATTCTATTGCCTGTTGCCTGCCTGGCAGCTGAGTTTCATGGCCTGGCTTTCTGCTGAAAGGTAAGATTACCAAGTACTGCAGAGGTTAGAAAGATCTGCCAGCGCTAGCCAGAGGCTTCCTTCTGGTTGGAGGTTGGAAGAGAAAAAATTTCATTTGATCACTGTGTATTCCTGCATCATTTACTGTTGTAACCCTGCCCTTCAAATCATAGCATGTGAAATGCTCACAGTCAATTGCTTTAACTCCTAAAATTACTACACATTCTTCTCCAATGGCTCCTTAGGATTCTGTTTTCTGGCAACTATAATAATTCTGTTTCTATGTCAACCCCATGCCTGCATATTTCTCCTTACAGACTGATCCCAGACCCTGAGGAGGTAGGATTCGGTGTATTTGTTTAGGGTATATGATAGGTTTCAAATATATTGGTACCCAGGCTTTGAAATCTTGGTTCTATTTATGGGTCAGCAGATTAGTGATGACATTTTGAAATATGATGGAGATTTTCACACTCCAAAATCATAATCATGGGTCTTGAGAGATGTCTCAGTGATTAGGAGCATTTGTTGCTCTTGCAGGGGACCCAGGTTTGGTTTTGAGCACCCACATGGGCTAATGATGCCATCTTCTGACCTCCGAGGGCAAAGTGGTACACATCTATCTGTGAAGGTAAAGCACCCATACACATAAAGTAAAATATAAATGTCTTTAAAAAATATAGCTTGGGATGGTGGCATCTACCTCTAATCCTAGCACTTGTGAGGTAAGAGATAGGTAGTTCTCTGTGTGTTTCAGGCTAGCCTGGTCTACACAGTGAGTTCCAGGCCAGTCAGGGCTACACAGTGAGACCCTGTCTCAAAACACACACACACACACACACACACACACACACACACACACGCACGCACGCACGCACGCACGCACGCACGCACACACCCATGGTGGCTAGGGAGATAGCTCAGTCAACAAAGTGACGGTCACATGAACATGATGTTCAGGTCCTCAATATCCATATAAAATACTGGGCTCTATGACCCCAAGCTGGGTGGGAAGTGCAGACAGGAGGACCGTTGTAGCTCAGTGGTCTCACAGCCTAGCCAGTCAGCAAGAGACCCTATCTCAAAACAATGATGGAGAACAATTGAGGAAGATACCAGCATCAGCCTCTGGCCTTTCCACATACATCCACACTTGCACACATCCCCACACCCACACTTTGCAATCATAATCAAGTACTCAGGCCTTTAACTATTGGGGGACAAATGAGGGAAGAATGGGTAAAACATCTCCAAACCAGACCATTTTTCTGGTCACCATTGCCAGTCTCACAAGCAACATTAGCTATGACTCAAAGCTGAAGGAAATATCACTTTGTGGGGTGAGGACAGAGTGGGTGGGCTCTTGGCAGGAGGGAGAGTGTAACAAGGGAGAGTGTTACAAGGGAGCAGTGATGCTGTGTGATCTCAGAAATAGCGCGTGTTCTGGTAGGTCATGCATCCAGGTTGAGCTAGCTCTCAGGGGCTCGGTGTGTGTCTGCCTTTCTCCAAACAGTTGCTGTGGGTCTGAGAGAGTCATGCACATTCTCTGCTTTGAGCTAGAGGGGAACTACAGCTTTGCAAGAGCAGGCATGCTTTTCAGATTTCACAAGAACGTGATGACTTGGTTGTGTCCTTCGTCATGGAGAAAGGGAAGCAATGGTTCCTGGGGTCACAGGGCTTCTGATCTACAAGAGGAGGGCACAGCACCTTACTTTAGAACAGGGGTCCTCAACCTGTGGGTCATGACCCCCTGGGGAGTTGAACCACCCTTTCACAGGTGTCTCCTATGACCATCAGAAAACACAGATGTGTACAATTCATAACAGTAGCAAAATTACAGTTATGAAGTAGCAACAAAAATAATTTTATGATTGGGGGTCACCACAACATGAGGTTGCAACATTAGAAAGATTGAGAACCACTGCTCTAGAAACATCCTGACAGAAGCCCAGCATATCTTGAAACCCAGCATAGATGCCCCATCTTACAGCCTATAAGATGTCCCTAGCTCATTCTTTTTCTTTTCTCTTCTCTTCTCTTCTTTTCTTAGAATGGTTTCTCTGTGTAACAGCCCAGACTGTCCTGGAACTCACTCTGTAGACAAGGCTGGCCTCAAACTCGCAGAGATCCCCCTGCCTCTGCCTCTACCTCTGAGTGCTGGGATTAAAGGAGTGCACCACCCTTGCTCATTTTTTTTTATTTTTTTCAAGACAGGGTTTCTCTGTGGCTTTGGAGGCTGTCCTGGAACTCTCTCTATAGACCAGGCTGGCCTCGAACTCACAGAGATCTGCCTGCCTCTGCCTCCCAAGTGCTGGGATTAAAGGCATGTGCCACCAACGCCCGATTTACCCTTGCTCATTCTTAAGAAAGTGAATCACAATGTGTCTCCTGTCTATGCGATCTGTCTGTTCATCTGAGTCTGGCAGTTGTGTGTTAATCCTGACCTGGGTGTGGTGCCGCACATCTGTAATCCCAGCACCTGGACTACAGGGGACCCTGTCTCAAAACATAGTAGAAAAGAAGCAACAGAATGTTGATCCTGTCACTAGACTGTGGCTCTGTTCCACTCTACATGAACGGTCTTGGGTATTACTTCTATCTGGATGGATTGAGAGCTTATCTGTTCAATTCTTGGAGTGGTCTCTGGCACCTGGTAGCCCTCAGGAAATGATCTGTTCCAGGGTTTTCCTGGCAAGTCTTATCTTGTCTACTCCTGCTTCCCACCCACCCAATCTCACTAAATGGCAGGAATCGGGTGTGCAGAGATTACTCCCTATGCCTTCTGGGTAGCTTAATGGCTCTTTACACCCCGGGCACACTCAACAACCTTCACAAAAGTCAGCAATGTGGGTCCAGCACACGCCGAGGACTTGAGGCAGAAGACGTCTCCTGTGAATGGGCTAGATCAGATCTTTCCTCCATTAGGAAGACCAGCTACTATAATTACAAGCCTTATAAAACACTTTAGTCACATGGTACCATGTGTTATTTAGCTGCGGAGAGCTTTTGACAGGCAGACCGTGCATTCCTGACTCGCCCCCCCCGCCCTTTCCTGATGCCAAGTGCAGGATTTATTGGGAGAAGTCTGGATGCTATCCAATCTGTCCCAGTGACACAGGGTTTCCTCGTGGGTATATTAAAAAGTAGTGTGACTCTTGGTGAAGCTTCAACATGAGCAGAATGCTGGCCTGGTGAGGCAGGGTCACATTGCTTCTAGAGAGGACACAAGAGCCACCTGGCTTCTGAAGTTTTTCCTCTGAGGCGGAGGGCCAATTCCAAGACCATGTGGAAGCTGCCAAAAGAAACATCTGAGGTAATGACCTCATGGACTTGCTGTCCCACTTCTTGTCTTGGATGTAATTAAACATACTGTACTGCTGAAAGCAACAGAAGAAACTTGCCAATGGGCCTAGGGAGGAAAAAATAGGCTTTTCTTAATTATTGGAGAAGTCTAAATTATAGTATTTTTGTCTTTGTGTATTAGGATCATCCTATTCTTAAGGGATATGTTTGTCTCCTAGGAGACAGCTATGTGTGGAATATGAGTGACAGTACCTTAATTCCCCAGGGATGGTTTGAGTTGTTCCATCTTTGAAAATCTCCTATTTTAGAAATGGAATCTTTATATCTTTTATGGGAACAGCCAATTAAAAGTATCTATGACATGCTTTGAGGTCAGGCAGATCAGGTAGTCAGGGACAGGTGTCTGAGACAGGGACTGTGCATAGTACCAACCAAAGCCTGGGACCTGGTGGGACTCTACCTGTGGGCTGTGAATACTGGAGTGAGTGGGGAGCCTTCGATGGACAGTGAGAAGACAGTCAGCCATTCTACTGCTGGAGGGCTTGAAAACTTGGGATAAGTCTGAGCCTGACCCTCCCAATGTCTGTTTTTTCTTCAGTAAAGAATCAAAGGACAGGAGGGCACTACTCCCCAGGAAGTCTCTATTTTCTCTTTCAAAAGCTATTCTTATTATCTTCCCCTACCAAGCAATGTCACAAATGTAGCATGCCACAGGAACCCAGTGCTGGAACACACACACACACACACACACACACACACACACACACACACACACACACCCTTACATCATAGGCACAGACACACAAACATACACTCAGACACAGACACACATTATAGACACACAATTACAGGCACAGACACACAGAGAGACACATACCTTATATCACAGTCACAGACATACACACATACCTTACATCACAGACACAGATACATACACAAACACACCTCATATCACACACACACACACACACACACACACACGCACACACCTTACATCACAGGCACACATAGACAAACACACACTCAGACAGAGGCACATACAGATACACACACATTCACACCTTATATCACACACACCTCTTATATCACAGATAAACACACTAACACATTCACAGATACAGACACAGACACACATACAGACACACCTTACATCACAGACATAGATAGACACACACACACACACACACACACACCCTTGCATCTCAGAGACAGAACTGATTTATCTTCTTTCTCTTTGGCAAGGTCTCACTCCATAGCTCAGGTGGGACTTGAACTTGTAGAAATCCTCCTGCCACAACCTCCTGAGTGAAGTGATTATAGGTTTGTACCACCATATCTGGTTGACAGAACTAATTTCTGTGATATAAAAAGAGTCACAACCAAACTAAGCAAAAAGTCCAAAACATATGAAAAGCAAATTTGTATGAAATCCAGTATATCGAGAGAATCTCTGCCTCCTTAAAATATGAGAAATGCAAATTAGAACTACACTGAAGAATAATTTTCTTACCTAAAATACCGACCACACAGGATCAGTGAGGAAATGTGGGGAAAAGAGTGTTCTCAGATATATTTTTGACAGGAATATAAATTCTTGTTCTACTCTATAATTTCTCAGCTTTGAGATTATTACCATCCAGAACTCTTAATTTGTTTCAATGGTGTGTCCAGTCCATCATGCTGACTGTGAAAGGCATGATGGTGGCAGTTTAGAGAAAGCTGCCCTGAGGCAGGTATGACCCTCTTGTCTGAGCACAGCAAGGGAAAGACCTGCTTGTTAAGGGGCTGAAGCCCCAGGGACCAAGGTCTCTCTTACCCACAAGGCTCCTAGTATGGGGTAGTGGGAACAGAGTAAGCCTTGGCTTCAGGATACTGTTCAGAGGTAGAGAGCAAAAGGAAGGACTGAGACTTCAGGAGATCGGGATGTACGGCTGACTGGGCAGACGGAACACCTCAGGAAGGAGGGTAAAATGGAAAAACAGAACTTGCTAGCCGGAGAAGACTGCATGCCCAGCTTGGGGTGAGGGGACAAAGGCTGGGGCCATAGACACAGAAAAAAAGAGGACCTCTCTCTCTACCCATGGCCAGGCTGGGACCATGGACACAGAGAAGAGGACCTCTCTCTCTACCCATGGCCAGGCTGGGACCATGGACACAGAAAAGAGGACCTCTCTCTCTTCCTATGGCCAGGCTGGGACCATAGACACAGAAAAAAAGAGGACCTCTCTCTCTTCCTATGGCCAGGCTGGGACCATGGACACAGAGAAGAGGACCTCTCTCTCTACCCATGGCCAGGCTGGGACCATGGACACAGAAAAAAAGAGGACCTCTCTCTCTACCCATGGCCAGGCTGGGACCATGGACACAGAAAAGAGGACCTCTCTCTCTTCCTATGGCCAGGCTGG